CTTCTCCGAACTTCATTGATCAATTAGGTCTTCAAGGTTTTGCCGTTGGAGCAACGTTCAACATCCGTAGAGGGGATCACTTAGTTGTTTTCGTGAAGCTTACCTTTCTTTGCGGTGGCCATTTGTGCTCCGTTCTATCATTGGATCCTAGATCTACCAGGAACCTACTGAATCACACTTGGCGAAAGTAGGTGCCGCAATCCCACCCATTTCGGTTTAGTCATGTCATTTATCTTCCATTTGCGTGCTTAATTTCTCCTGTTTCTTTCAAAATGATTCTACCATGGAAGCATGTAGACACATAAGGGGGCTTGCGCCATCTCCTTTCACCTTTGGCAAAAGGACCGCAGCTGAGGATTTGTCAGGAGGCGTTGCCAACCCGGCGACCGCATCGCTGTTGGCGCAACACCTTCATGCGGTGAAGCTCCTGGGACAAGATAAGTCCGGATCTTCCCTTACCAGCGAACATGAACTTTTTGCACGGGGCTCAAGTTTGGTTCACGAAACCTTCAACATGTTGCATGCCAAGCAGGGTTTCAAGCCCGGGTCGGCCCGCATGAGGGGAGCCCAGAGCCTCACCCTCATCCTATGTCTGCGGAAGCTAACCTGGTGATTCCAGCACGCATCATGCCCGCACTACTTGGGTGTTGGTGGCCCATGGCTATGCTCCGGTTGGATCCTTTCCCTTTCTGGACGCCAAATGCGCGCGCGTTGTTTACCAGGCCGGGAGACACTAGCTTCCCCTTGGTTTCCCCCTGTCCACCCAAAGACGGGCGCCTTGAAAATCAAGACACACCCGTTTTGTCAAGTTCGCTTGTGCCTGCTCATTCCCTGCGAGGCAACAGATTGGGTGAAACGAGCCACCCCACCCCCACGACCAAGTCGCCGACTTGAGGACCAAACCTTCTACGCCCCCTGCAACACTCAATGTCCGATCCCAGTGCTTTCAATTATTACTATAGTAGGGAACCGGGGCAGACAATGATATTCACCCAGAGGTAGCCACACATGACTGAATGCTATTGTGGCAACTGTTTCCCCGAAGAGGGTGGCCTGACTTCAGGCTGGCGCAGGAGCGAGGAGCCGCATCTCCTGAAATATTCCTCCTCTTCGCTGGCGCGACTCCATCAGAGGCGGAGAATGACAACACGAAAAGGGGCAGTTCTTGGCCCAATCGGTAGACCCTTGTTTAGACACACATTATATACAGCTTCAGGAAGTTGAGAGCGTGGTTGATCTTGCGAAGTCCGAAGTGGGCTTTGCGTTGGCGAGCCCTAAACTTGTCGTTTATCATTCTTTGGCCTTTGGCCAGGCTCCGGAAAAGGCCGCTGATTTCTTCGAGTTTTGGGTGTGTGTCTTTTTAAAGGATACTTGTTCGGAGGTTCTGACGAAAAACCAATCGGCGCTTGCAGTCTGAAGAGTGTGTCCCCAACGCACAAGCCATGTGTCGGGCGTATCTTTTTCATTCGGATTAGACTTGTTTTTAGCAGGGCCCCTGAAGCGATTAGAGACCCACGGGGTAGACGCCCACGCCTCGGTTAGGAGTCCCCCTCGCAACTGCTAGGGCCTGCTGTCACACGAAGTCATCGATTCCTTGGTGAAGTACAGGACTTTGCCAGCGATTTCGTTGGGAAAGGGGGCGAGAAGGATGCCAAGGTCGCTCTGGTTGTGTCGCCTACGCTTAGCTGGCTCCTAATATGCTTCTTGCATGTTCGAATTTGGGCCGGTGCCAATGGACTTACTCATCTTCCGAACAAAATGAACCCGAGACGAAAAAGCTTCCCCCTGACCCACCAAGCAACAGAACGAACACCAAACCGGGCATCCCAACTGTAGCTGGGTGTTTTGTTCTTGCCTTTGCGGAGGGTAGCCGCTCCTTGTTTTGTTTTGCAAAGCGCTTGCAACCTTGTTCGGCCCTTTGGGTCTGTGATGGTCGTTGGGATGCGTCAGGACGGAGATGGCGGATGTGTTGGTGGTGTTTGATGGCCTTCGTGAGCCCGGGTTGCTCTGCGATCCCTTCACGGAGCTCTTCCACAAGCACTGCCCGGTGACAGAGGAAAGCGGCGAGGGAAGTCTACTTTGGTCAATGATCCCAGAGTTTCAGATGGCCTCTCGAACTCATAGTTAACGCTGTAAATCGCAGATCACTTGAAGAGCGAGCGCGACATGCCGGTGGGGGGGGGCCTAGGGTCCGCGAAGTTGATAGCTTCAACAGGGCCTTCCCTCCTTGCCTGTTCGCCTCCACTTATGGGGCAGGGAGGTGGGGGCATTTGCGTTTTCAGTCCCCAGGTCAAGTCAAGCAGGGCTCGGCCCGGGCCAAAATTGGTTCCCAGGGTGGCAAATGGGGAAAAGGGCCAGGGAGGGAATCAACCACTTTGAGATTTCTGTGGCTCTTTGGAAAGTGACCTTAGCCCCCATACACCCGACTTTTTGGAAACGACTACATCAGACCAAGGTCTAGCAACCTGATGGCTCGGGCCTAAGCCGCTCATCAGGAGCT